CTGTACTACTATCCATTGCATCCCGCTTTTAACATCCTCTCAAGTCTCATATTTACCAACTTGTACTCCATAATTATACCCCCAATGGGCAATTATCCTCTCTAGGACCATAGGTTTCTCCTGCGCGTCGCTTGGGCATCCAATACGTTTGGAATTCGATAGGAAGAGAAGGTTAACTATTGCTCTAAGCTTCATGGCACGATCTAGAGTAGAAAGAAATGAGACAATCCTAGATGTCTTGGTAGTTAATCGTTTATATGAGTGGCCGGGACACACATATAAAGGAAACTCCACTAGACACGACTTCATAGACTCCCTAGGACTCTTGAACCTAGTGCTCTGATACCAAGATTTGTCACGTCCCGAACCTAGATATAACACGGCACCCGGTGCCTGACTACATGCGACCGAGTGAACCAACTGGCTGGCTGAATCAACATGTGATATCATAACATACTGAATGCGGAAGATAAACTAACACATGCTGATATACTGAAAGTCTGGACGATACAAAATCGAAGTGCGGAAATACTAATACAATTCTGAAATATATTTGTAGCCAACTTGGCTTAATATGAAAAGCTTGCGACTCTGTCTAGCTGTTACTCTAGTCTATGAAGCCTCTAATGAAACACTGAAAACACTGACTGTCTGAAAATATTGAAGACTGTAAGGTAATGATAATGCCCCGAAGAACTGGGGATCACCAAGTAGCTGGTACGAGAATCCTAACGCTCTGAGTCATCAACCTGTAAATCATTACCTACATAGTGAGATGCAGGCCTCGGGCAAAAGGGACGTCAGTACATTTGAATTGCACTGGTATGTAAAGCAACTGAAGGAAAGAATTATAAATGCTGAAACTGAAATTAAGCTGATAACTGAGAGTTGATAATTGATAACCGAAATGATAACTATTGAAACTGAAACTAAAATGATAACTGATAACTGAAATGATAACTGATAACTGAAATGATAACTGATAATTGAAATGATAACTAAAAGTTGAACTGAACAAAGGAAGTAAGGATATGAATACTCCTTCTTCTGAATGATGAACAACCTGTTTATCTGAATATTAAACTGCGGTCTCAGGCCCAATATATATGTGCACAAACTGCGGCCTCGGGCCCAAGTATACATATACATAACTGCGACCTCAGGCCCAAAGATGCATAAAGCATAAACTGCAGCCTCAGGCCCAAAGATGCATAAAGCATAAATTGCGGCCTCAGACCCAAAGATAGGTGTTCAACATTCAGGGATTTAAAATCAGGAACTGAGAATCATACTACAATACATGATAGTGAAATACTGAATCACACTGAGTTACATGATACTGGAATACTGGATCACACTGAGTTACATAATACTGGAATACTGAATAGGACTAGACTGAGACATGTATTCTTGAACTGATTATGAACACTGAAACTTCAACTGTTTATGGCATACTGAGTAATATATACTAATACTCGAGGGCATCAAACCCAAGTCCACATTGAATACGCGCTGAGCTCACAACGTTCAGAACGAAAGTCATGAACGAGTTATGAAGCTAAAGAATAAAAGTTCTACAACTATTCAAGGAACTAGGCTAAACTATATTTCTGAGGCAATTAGTAACGTCGTAAAAGAAACGTAGTGTAGGGAGAATCATTAACGTTCCCAAACATAGAGAGTTAGACTCACATACCTTAAGTTCCTGCTCTTGAGCGTAATACAACATTCGCCAACCCTTTTAACTTTAATCTATATCAGTACAAGTCAAAGGAATTCCATATTAGCTATGATACTCATGTTTTGGTCACTTAAGCATTTTATCAAAGACTTGGTGAGAATAAAGCTTCATAGTTCTTATTAATGGTGTCTCTACACCCAATAACCCATTCTCTTGCTCCTAGATAAATTCTAAAATCTCAAATGGTTATAATCAACATCATTCTTTATCACCCATAAGGTAAATAACACACTTAACCAATAATCAACAATCAACACCCCAAACCTATAATCGTTCATGCTTTTCTATCAAATCCATCAACTCATATCTCATGAACTAGAGTCTATAATCATTAATCCAATGCTAGAATCAATTAGAGGGTGAGGACATTACCTTTTTGAAGTTCAATCCCCTTGAATTCGAGTTCTAGGGTTCCTTCTCTAAACAATGATGTCCCAATTGAATATCTAATAATATGGAGGGTTTACCCATGTTAATAAGATGTTGGAAAATTGAAATTAACTTAGAATCACCATTAGAATTTACTTTGGGTGGTGGAGGGACCCTTAAGGAGTTAGGTTTTTGAGAGTTCCCCTTTCTAGAGCAAGTGTTTATGTTTTGGGGTTGTGGGGGACGAAGTAGGGCTTTAAAATGACCCCCCATGTGCGCACCCGTGCACCTGTAGGCCTGGCCGCGCAAAATGGCAGTAACACTGCCACAGGTGCGCGGCCGCGATCGGGGCGCGCTCAGGGCGCGTATATTGCATACTGTTATGTAAAACGCGCACAACTTTTTGCACAGAGATCCGTTTGGGCTCCACAATATATCGTTGGAAAGATATTTCAAAGGCCTACAACTTTTATCTTTTGAATTTTCTCAAGTTACTTACACATTTTCACTAACTGCTGCTGGAAGACGGACCTTTTGTAAACTTAGTTGATTTTGTCGAATCTTATGCACCTCACTCTCCATCTTGATTCCGAACCAACTATTTCTACCAATAATCATCCCTCTAGGACTTCATATGTCTAAAATATCAAATTAATACCCATTTAACATATCTCCACCTAGTCCGAATGTACAGGGTGTTACATTAAAGATAAAATTGTCCTTCAAAATTTATTCTTGATTAAAATATGCTAGTTATTATATTAATGCAAGTTTAAAATAATCCAAATAGTGAGAAATAAAATTATATCCCTTGTATATAAATAACTACTTAGCATATTTCCTTTTTTAATAAATAAATATTTAGTTCTATATTACAATATAGGTAGACAAATCAAATAATTTTTTAAAAACTTTTTCATATAAAAACATTTCTCAACATATGTTTCTTTTAAAAAGTTAGAGTGATGGACTGATTTTGAGGGCATTTTTGTAAACAAACAATTCTTTTAGAGATTGTGTAATGCTTTAATACATCAAACCGAACAATGGATAAGAAATATGTCAGCATAACTAATACTAGCATAACTAATACCAGTATTACTAATACACCCTATTCAGCCCCGTGAGAAAATGTGTGTAATAGGGATTTCGGTGCAAGTTTGATGGGTAAATTATGTATTATGAACCCAGTAATTAGATGAATTATGAGTTCGATAGCAAATTTAGTACCCATAAACTTTAAATCTTGATTTCGCCTTTCTCCCGGACGCAACACCAACAGTGTGATTCTTGGCACATCTTGAGACAACCCCCTCGAACCTGATTCCTCTGCTTTTAGGCTGATAATGTTTAGTTATTAGAGCAATAGTTATATGCAGTTTCCACTTTCCTAGGCCAATCAATTCACCCTATATTCTATTATGCATATAGTGTCTTTTCCTTAAAAGGGAAAACATGAGAAAGTCACGAATATGATCCCCTCATAGGCCACTATAGCCAGAATCATGTTCCTAGTCTTGGATAACAAACACATACTTTTCACATTTAGAAGTAATTTAACACTAAATTTTTCATGCCGTCCTTAATGACATAGTTTTACTGATAAAGGCAAATCCAGGATTTGAACCTTATGAGTTATGAATTCTAGGACAAGGCCTCAAGTTATATTTAAATTTTGTTTACCACAGATATATGGTTTCGACCAAAACTATAGGGTTCTGTCGGACCTGATCTGCTCGTGTTTACGGACATGTTATCGCATACCTGTGAGCACACACTTTCAAAGACTTTTCATTTTTTTATTAAACTTCATGCCGGAAATATCTTCCCGCTTCCCATATGATGAAGGAAATTTTACCTCCTATATCAAATGATACATCCTATTTATTATAAACCAAAATTATTTTAAAATATTATTTTCTATAGCTACCTTTTATATTTTATAGCAAAATATGTATTTATGGTATATGTTACCATTGAGGCATGAAATAAGGCATGAAATACGCTATATATGTTTTTCTTCTCTCTTAGACAGGTGGACATACCTATTTTTAAGGAGGTTGCCGCTACTGTATTTATGAATACATGGCGCGAATACATGTGAATACATGCGCTACAGTTGGACTGCCCTGATTTTAGGCGCTTTTTACTGCTGTATTCATGAATACAACAGCGGGAATACATGTGAATACATGCTCGTACAACTGGATTATCATGATTTTAGGCGCTTTTTACTGTTGTATTCATGAATACAACAGCGCGAATACATGTGAATACAGCTGGACTGCCCTGATTTTAGGCGCTTTTTGTTGCTGTATCCATGAATACATGGCGCGAATACACGTGAATACATGCACGTACAGCTGGACTGCCCTGATTTTAGACGCTTTTTACTGTTGTATATACATGTGAATACATGCTCGTACAGCTGGACTGCCCTGATTTTAGACGCTTTTTACTGTTGTATTCATGAATACAATAACGAGAATACATGCACATACAGCTGGACTGCCATGATTTTAGGCGCTTTTTGTTGTTGTATTCATGAATACATGGCGCGAATACATGTGAATACATGCGCGTACAACTGGACTACCCTGATTTTTAGGCGTTTTTTGCTGCTGTATTCATGAATACAGCTACCGAAACAACTGAATAGTAGCTATAAGAAGTCATTATGTATATGATAACTATAGAAAGTTAATAGCACTAACAATAGTGGCTTATGAAAATTCCTGTATAATAAAAAGGAGAGAGTAATTATTTCTTAATGGCATATCCCATGAGGAATATCCAAGGACTAATCATTTCACACGAACATGAGTATCACATGATTAATTAATGTACAAGGAATTGTATTAATCTCCTCTTATTAATATGTTCTCTTCACAACAATCTCTCAACTCACAAATTACTCTTTCCCATTTCTGAAAGCTAACTTCTAGATTTTAATGGCAAAGAACCAAATTACCACCAAAGATTATCAGTATAAAAAGATTTTCAAGGTGGAGAATGCCAAAAAACAGTCTGAAATAGAAGGAAAATCAAATATGGTACTTATAGACTACAATCATACACCAGGAAAAGCTCAGCAAAAGCAGGAACCTAAAGGTATTTTTAGGAAATTAAACTTTATTAATTCATCTGAATATTATTTTGTTCATGTTAAAGGTTCGTTTGATACATTGGATAAGGATAACAATTTCGGAATAAAATTTGAAATTAACTTTATCTCATATTTGGTTTGGGGTATTAGCTAATCCCGAAATAACTTTTAACATTAAAATAATGGGATTAACTATAGCTAATCATCACGATATCCCACCATTGTACCCAAAGGCGGCTCGATGGTGTTGGAGGCCTAAAGACAAGCTGTAATAAGAGGCCTTAAACTTGTTTAATAATTTTAGATATTTTTTTTAAAGTTTATTCTTTTTACTTTTTGAGATCAATTTAATCTTGATAATGTAACCAGCCCATTTACTTTTTGTTGATTATTTTTTCACATGACCGTCAACATAACTCACTATATATCATTGCCGCCCAAAGTAACAATCATGTGCGAATTTGCATTTACAAAGATGATAAACAAATTAACTATAACTTTTTACGATCTAATTAGCTTGAAACGTACCTACAGAGACTTTGAAAAAAATATCTTACAAAATTAGAGTTGTAAATAAAATTTATTCAAGTTGAAATAAAAAGAACTAGAAAATAAGTACAAATTTAATTGCTTTTCACTTTCATCAAAATTTTCTCAACCAACTACAAAAAAAAAAAAAAACCCACATAATAGGTACAATAAATATTTAAATTACAAGAAGAGTAGCTTTTGGGGCCCCTAATTATGTGAGGCCTAAAGCGGCCGCTTAGTGGCCTGGGGTTAAGCCGCCTCTGATTGTACCATATGACCTCAGTGTGTTAGCTTAGGAGATGGTAAGTGAACCGAAATTTTGGCGCAGAGGTAAGAGTTGTCGTCTTGTGAACATGAAGTTACGAGTTCAAGTCGTGAAAATAATCTCTTTGCAGAAAAGCGAGGTAAGGCTACATATAATAGACCCAATATGATCCGACTATTCTTCGAATCTTGTGCATAACGAAAGCTTAATGCACTTCATTGCCCAATATTATTTTTTTGGTCAGGAGATTGTTGTATTAATGTATGATTTTGTAACTTTGTTCATGTACATGGGATTAAAAGAACTGTCTAAAATTAAATAAAAATGCATGTACAGTAGGCTAAATACATGATATAAATCACTGAAAAATACCATGAATTAGTCATTTTGTTCAAGTCAAGTTGTCAAAGAGTCCTTCTTTCCACCTATGTTAATCTCTCCAAAAATATCGTTGCATCCGTATTGAATCCTGAAAAATATACTACTTTATTTTTAGAGGATCAACCTACACCTGACCGTATTTTTGAAGAGTTCGAGCAACGTGGATTTCCACCGCTTCTCTTCTAAAATAAGTTTGTGTATTTGAATGTTGACTTGCTCTTCAAATTTTCTAACAGGTAACAAGTCAAATGGTAGCAGGAATGACAAGTATTTTTCTGGTTATATTGATCGAGTGAAGAACAAAATGAGAACAACAACATCAAGTGTTGGTGTTGACACTGAAATTAGAAAGGCTGCAACAAGAAGAGATAGTTTTAATGATAGAATTTCTCATTATATAAATCGTGCCAAGCTCAAGATTAGAACTACAACAATTGTTGGACGTGGTGACCAAGGCGTAGCAAACTAGCTAATTTAATTGTATTTCTATTTTATTAGTATTGTATTGTACTATTATGTTGGATACAATATTTAGTATAATTTACTACTAAAAAACAAGAATTAATGATGAAAAAATTCTGTAGCTAAGCAGAAAAATTTATCGCTAATCTTATTTAGCGATGGATTATTAAGAAGTTCTATTAGCTACGAGCAATTTAGCGATAGATTATCGACGAATAGCTAGCTCGAGTTTTTTTTTTTTTTTTTTTTTGTAGTGATTGTTACTTACATATAATAAAAAACATGAGAAATCGATAAATAAAATAAAATATTATTTTTGTCTGTGTTCAATATAATTTTTCAATAAAAAGTGTGCTTGGTATGAAGGAGAATATTTTTTAATTTTTTTATGTCCGAGTGGTCTTAAAAATTAGGAAAATGAAATCCCTGGTGGGGTAGGGAAAACAAGTATGGCTATTTCATACTATTTGTCTCCTCCCAACCCCCAGCATCTCACCTCTCGCCCCCTCCACCCCGGCCCCCTCACACTCGTGCCCCTACCCCTACCCTACGTACCCGCCTCCTCGCCACCCATCCCCGCCACCCCCACACTCACCATAACCCACCTTATCAACCCACCACCACCCTTACCCATATTCACCATCACCCCGCATAATGTTTGCCTAGACTATACATAAATGCTCTTAGGACCCATCACCCACCCACCCCCCACCCATCCCCCACCCCATCCCCCACCCCATCCGTTTTGTGGTGTTTTGTTATAACCATTTTTCTTGGAAAATATTTTACACTGAAAGGTGAAATATGACTTTGCTCACTTATGGATAAAAGTAATTATTTTTCTTACGACTATGTTAACTCTTGATTTTATATCGTTTCCTCTAACCAACATTTATATATTGTTATTAATTATTAATACTCAATAATATAAAACCTATTTGATTTGTTAATAAATTATTAATCTTATTTTTCAAAATTATTTTTCACTCACCAACCGGGCACCAAAATACATTTTCTAAAAAAAAATCATGAAAAACATTTAAGATAAAAAATATATATATTTATGAAAAATAACTTCCGTCATTATGCCATAAGCCGAATTAATAGCCAATTGACTTTGAGTTAATTATGATAACATCCATTCAAGAAAGATATCCTAAACCCCTCAAGCCAAACAATGATCAAAATAGAAAGTCAAATTCTTAGGTATTTTGTTTGTCTCATAATATCTAGGCCCATATTTCCTTTTCAGAATATGTGCTTTCTAACTATAAATTATGCAAGATTCACAATTTTGACTTCAATATATATTTTTATTTCTTTCTATTAATAGAATTATTTTTAGATAAAACAAATGAATGGATGCTATAATTATGGAAAAAAAGAAAGTAGAAGCTGAGGTAATTCATTTATTTAAGCCCCTCAAAAATATCATTGACTCTAGTTAATCCATTAAAGTAAGTTACTAATTGCCCTGTGATAGAGCACACAAAGAATTCGAACAACTGCCTCAAATACATTATTCGAAAGCACTAAAAGGATAATATAAGAGTCAAAGGTTCCTAAACAAATAGAATTCTCTCCCTCACAATCCTACCAACTTTTATCCTTTATTCTTTATCAATCAATCATTTATAACCTCTCCTAAACCTTCTCTTAACCTAGCCTCCAATGGCTGCTTCAACTTCCTTTCCCCTAATGCACTATTCTATATGCAAACTGCAGGATGGCCTTTTGGAGTTTTTTTCCTTCTTTTCATCTCCTTGGCCTCCTGTTTCTCTCCCTAATTAGCAACCAAATCTCCTTGATCACCACCGCTACGACCACCGCCACCACCAGCGTCCGCGTTGGCGTTATTTTGAAACCAACCGGTCTGCACGTTCCCGTCTTCCGGGAGGCACCGGCTTTTCGCAATGGGAGAGATTGCGGTTCGTCGGCCGCCGATCATATTCATGTCGCCATGACCCTTGATGCTAATTACTTGAGAGGTACTATTGAAACGTGCAACTAGCTTATCTAAAAACTTAAGTTGTCTAGCATATCATATATACTTTTAATTACTTTATAACATTATGTTTCTATATGCCTCCTGATGATCCTTTTTCTGGTGAAAGTTGTATGCATTGATGGTGTAAAACATATTTATTTAACTATGTCATTTCCAATGCATATCATACTTAAGTTGTCTAGCATATCATACTTTTAATTACTTTATAACAATATGTTTCTACACGCCTCCTGATGATTCATTTTCAAGTAAAAATTCGAGTAAAATTCTGTGCAATGATGTTGTAAAATATTTACACAACTATATCACTTATAATGCATGTACAATTTTATGATAAATATTAACTATAAGTAATTTAAAAAATGGTAGTACTAACTAATTAACATGCTACAATAGGTCAAGTACCTATGGGTGTAAAATGATATTTAAATTGTGTGAAATACATGCAAAAAAGTTTTTCTTTTTTTACATGACAATAAGATATTTGAACTCATGAACCTCTTGTCTGTACTCAGATATACTATATCGAAATATATAATCCTATATTCTAAAAGCTTAAGTCGTTAGAAAGAACATGTTATTAATTACTTAATATTTTGTCTCTGTAGGTACCATGGCTGCTGTGTTATCTATCTTACAACACTCAACATGCCCAGAAGATGTCATGTTTCATTTTTTATGTGTAAGACATGAACCTGTGGTATTTTCTAGCATTAAGTCCACTTTCCCCTACCTCAATTTCAAGCTCTACAAATTTGATGCCCACAGGGTCCGTGGCCTAATTTCAAAGTCCATTCGTCAAGCCTTAGACCAACCATTAAATTATGCGAGAATCTATCTGGCTGATCTAATTCCAATGGACGTGAAACGCGTAATTTATCTTGATTCTGACATAGTTATTGTTGATGACATCGCAAAATTATGGCAAGTTGATCTTGGTGACAAGATATTAGCAGCACCTGAATATTGTCAAGCAAATTTCACAACTTATTTTACTGAAACATTTTGGAATGACCCCAAATTGTTGCGAACATTTGAAGGGCGAAAACCATGTTATTTCAACACAGGAGTTATGGTTATGGATGTGGAAAAATGGAGACAAGGAAATTATACACAACAAGTTGAGAATTGGATGGTTGTTCAAAAGCAAAAAAGAATATATCACTTAGGTTCTTTGCCACCATTTTTACTTACTTTAGCAGGAAATATTATGCCAGTTGATCATAGATGGAACCAACATGGATTGGGTGGTGATAATATTGAAGGTAAATGTAGGAGTTTACATCCTGGGCCAATTAGTCTACTACATTGGAGTGGTAAAGGTAAACCATGGTTAAGATTGGATTCAAGAAAACCATGTACTGTTGATCATCTATGGGCTCCTTATGATCTTTATCGTTCCTCGAGGCATACCTTCGAGGAGTAATGTATCAAATCAAACTGAAGAGGCGGATTCAAAGTTTTAACTCGATGGGTTCAATCGTTAGATCTTACTGCTGAACTATTAATGTACTTTTAAATTTATTGAGTTCAAAGTTTAATATTTATTGAAATTAAATACAAGCTCAGTGTCAAAAATCTTGGGTTAGCTGAACCTATACCTTCTTAGCTAGATTTCCAATGAAAAAAGAGGTGGATTTAGCTCGGGCTCTTGCGGGTTCAACTGAACTTATTGCTTTCAATACACATTATATATATAAATGAAAAAGAAATTAAAATTTATACATATAACAAAATCACACTTATTTTTAGTCCACTAACTTTAGATTCTGCACATAGGTGCATGATGAAATGCCTATAAGGTTTGGAGTATAAAAGAGAAGCCAGAAAATCAGAAGATGCATATTAAAATAATAAAGTAAAGAAATTACATTATCTCAAAATTAAAAACAAAAAAAGGAAAATTTGTCGCCCACTATATATTTTTTGTTTGTTTTGCCTCTTGAAGTTGTATAATAGAGGTATAAAGGAAGGTTTTAAAAAAAAATAGATTTCTCATATTCTTTGTTGTATGTGTGTATGCAAGAAAGATGGCTAGTTATTGAGGATCCATCTCCTTTTATGACCATAAGAGTATTTATACCATGTCTTTTATTTTTTTAATTTGATTATGTCAATTGCGTAATTGAGTTGTTAAGATTATTATTTTTCGTTAACTAATTATATTCTTTTGGATGTACAGTATTGTTCTTGTGGATATTCAAAAAAGAGTGAATCGTAAATTATATCTTATAGTTGTGATGACCCAAAAGGTCATCTTATGTTTTAGAACTCAATTCTGCGCTTTTAAGCCTTAAAAATCTCATTTTTACCCTCCTCAATTTGCGTGCGCAGTCCGGGCGTGTTTCCGGAAAGCTTTTATGTTAAAAGTTGATGAAAATAAAAAATTTTTACCTTAAAAGTTAAATTGAGTTGACTTCGGTCAACGTTTTGAGTAAACGGACCCGGGTCCATATTTTGACGGTTCCCGTGGGCCCGTATTGTAATTTGGGATTGGGCGTATGCCCGCAATCGAATTCCGAGGTCCCTAGCTCGAGATATGAATTTTTGTTGAAAATTGAAAGATTAAAAATTTAATGGTTTTAAGAATTTGGTTAATGTTTGGTCTCGTTGTTATCGGGTCCGTATTTTGGTTCCGGAGCCCGGTACAGGTTCATTATAATATTTAAGACATGTCCGTGAAATTTGGTGAGAAACGGAGTTGGTTTGACGTGATTCGGACGTCCGGTTGACAAATTAGAAGTTTCAAAGCTTTCTTGAAAATTTCACTTGATTTGGTGTTCAATTCGTAGTTCTAGGTGTTATTTTGGCGAATTGATCGCGCGAGCAAGTTTGTATGATGTTTTTAGACTAGTGTGCACGTTTGGTTTAGAGCCCCGATGGCTGGATGAGTTTCTGATAGGCTACAGAGTGAAAAGAACATAGAAATCATAGCTGGTGTGCATCAGACCTGCAGATTTCGCATTTCCGAATAAACCATCGCATTTGCGAGCAGTCGGCTGGGGTGGATCTCGCATTTGCGAAAAAAGGGGTCGCATTTGCCATCCTCTAGTTCCGCATTTGCAAACAACATGTTCGCATTTGC